AATGTCCTCATTCCCTGACATTCTTCCTTAACAGCCCAGCCTCCTCCCCTCTCCCCAGCCTCCTCCCCTCCTGCACTCCATTCAATTCCCCATTTCTACCATTTGTCTCTCTACCAGGGTAGGGAGGGGACTGGGTTGCCGTGGAGGGGGTGGACTGTGACTCAGGAAAGGGGCCCCTGGGGACAGGGAGACCATTGGAAAGGCTCAGGACTCCACAGTGCGCGCCATGCTGCCCTTTGTCCCAGCCCTGATTCTGTGCTTACTGTGCCCAGGTTCCCAGGTATCCAATTGCAGGGGAGCAGCATGGGGACTTCCAGGTGGCCCCTCCTAGCAGGTGGGGGTTTGAGCCAGTGAAGAATTCAGTCCCCACAGGTCTCCCTCTAAAAGGGCATGTCCCCAGGACAGCCGCAGCAATGCCACAGCCACATCACTCACTCTCTAGTTTTTTTGTTTTGTTTTGTTTTTGAGACAGGGTCTCGCTCTGTGGCCCAGGCTGGAGTGCAGTGGCGTGGTGTGATCTCAGCTTACTCCAACCTCTGCATCCTGGGCTCAAGTGATCATCCCATCTCAGTTTCCCAAGTAGCTGGGACCACAGGTGCTCACAACCACACCTGGCTAATTTTTCTATTTTTAGTAGAGATGGAGTTTCTCCATGTTGCCCAGGCTGAACACTTTTTTTTTTTTTTTTCTTGAGACAGTCTTGCTTGTCGCCCAGACTGGAGTGCAGTGGCATGATCTTGGCTCACTGCAACCTCCGCCTCCCAGGTTCAAACAATTCTGTCTCAGCCTGAGTAGCTGAGGCTACAGACGCAGGCTACCACACTCGGCTAATTTTTATACTTTTAGTAGAGATGGGGGTCTCACCCTATTGGCCAGGCTGATCTCAAACTCCTGACCTCAGGTGATCCACACGCCTCCCAAAGTGCTGGGATTACAGGCGTGAGCCACTGCTCCCAGCCCAGCCGGGACACTTTCTCGTTTTGCAATCTGTTCTCTCCTCTCAGCCTCACTACAACCAGGCCTGGTGGGTGGGCTGGAATGATCCTTCCTGTCTGGCGTTTGGAGAAGTTGAGGACCCGGGTGAGCCCTGAAATCATTCCTGCCTTGGCTTCCTGTTCGCCGGCTCATGCTGCCCTCTAGTGGCTATATGCGCACCTGCCTTTAGGGATTCCAGGGCCGCTGGGACAACCAGCTGGGTCTGAAAACAGCAGTGGCCAGCCTTCCCAGGACCCTGGGCCGGGGACTGTTACATTATCATATATGTATATTTCAATTGTGTTAAAATACATATAAAACTTACCATCACAACCAATTGCACTCCAATCACACCACTGCACTCCAGCCTGGGCCACAGAGCAAGACCCTGTCTCAAAAACAAAACGAAACAAAAAAACTATACAGTGAGTGTGTAGCTGTGGAATTGCTGCAGCTGTCCTGAAGACGCCCTTTTGGAGGGAGACCTATGTAGGCGACTGAACAGTTTCCAACTGTACAGTTCCATGGCATTAAGTGCATTCAGACTATGGGGCAAGTATCACCACCATACAGCCCCAGAACTATTTTTTTTTTTTTTTTTTGAGACAGAGTTTCACTCTTGTTACCCAGGCTGGAGTGCAACGGCGCGATCTCTGCTCACCGCAACCTCCGCCTCCTGGGTTCAGGCAATTCTCCTGCCTCAGCCTCCTGAGTAGCTGGGATTACAGGCATGCGCCACCATGCCCAGCTAATTTTTTGTATTTTTAGTAGAGACGGGGTTTCACCATGTTGACCAGGATGGTCTCGATCTCTTGACCTCGTGATCCACCCGCCTTGGCCTCCCAAAGGGCTGGGATTACAGGTGTGAGCCACCGCGCCCCGCCCAGCCCCAGAACTTTTTGTTTTTTGCGGTAGTCTTATTCTGTCACCCCAGGCTGGAGTGCAGTAGTGCGATATTGGCTCACGGCAACTTCTGCCTCCAGGGTTCAAGTGATTCTCCCACCTCCACCTCTCAAGCACCTGGGACGACAGGTGCCTGCCGCCCCACCTGGCTAATTTTTGTATTTTTAGTAGAAATGGGGTTTCACCACATTGGCCAGGCTGGTCTCAAACTCCTGACCTCAAGTGATCCACCTGCCTTGGCCTCCCAAAGTCCTGGGATTACAGGCGTGAGCCACCATGCCCGGCCTAACAAGGCTATATTTTAATGATAGGAGAAATCAAACCAGACCAAACTTGGTGACTAAGAGAAAGTGGACTCTGAGAGCTGGGAGTTGGCCTGGCCTCACAGCTGCGGCCTGGGGTGCTCCCAGCTCACCCACATGGGGCAAGGTCACTCTGTGATCATGAGGAAGTGAGTCAAAGTCAAAAAGCAACACCACTCAGCAGCTGTCCTGAACACGCATCTCAAGGCCACCCACACAAATGCCAATGTCCCCCTAACCTGAGCAATCACAGCTGGAGATACAAAGGGATGGAGCCACCCAGCCATACATCTGACAGCACGTCCAGAGCAAGCCCGCACTTCCTTAAATCTTTCTCCAAATCCAATACCAGTACTAACACCGCCTTTGGAGACACCCAGGCTTCCCTGTGCTCTTCGGCCTCCCTTGCCACAGCGAGCATAATAAACCCAATTTTGTTGACTTCAGGCATATTCCTGGTGGCCTGACAGGCATTAACGTGACCATGAAGGAAGTGGCTAGAGAATGTCAGGGTTCATGAGATGGAGCCAGTGACTCATGAGCTGAGCTGAAATCACCCCAGCCTGATACTTCCCTTTTATCTCAGCAACCCACCATGATAGATTAGAATTGTTTCCAGTTGGCTGGGCATGGTGGTTCACATCTGTAATCCCAGCTATTTGGGAGGCCAAGGTGGGAGGATCGCTTGAGCCCAGGAGTTTGAGATCAGCCTCGGCAATATAGTGGGACTCCACTTTTATTTTTTTCTTATGACATTGTTTCGCTCTTGTTGCACAGGCTGGAGTGCAATGGTACAATCTCGGCTCACTGCAACCTCCACCTTCCACGTAGAAGCAATTCTCCGGTCTCAGTCCCCCAGGTAGCTCAGATTACAGGCATGTGCCACCATGCTCAGCTAATTTTTTTGTATTTAGTAGAGACAGGGTTATACCATGTTAGTCAGGCTGGCCGTGATCTCCTGACCTCAGGTGATCCATCCACCTCGGCCTTCCAAAATTCCACACCTGCTAGAATTACAGGTGTGTGCCACCATGCCTGGCCTCTATTTTTTTTGAGATGGAGTCTTGCTCTGTTTGAGATGGAGTGCTCGATCTCGGCTCACTGCAACCTCTGCCTCCCAGGTTCAAGCAATTCTCCTGCCTCAGCCTCCCGAGTAGCTGGGACTACAGGTGGCTGCCACAACACCCGGCTAATTTTTTTTTTGTTTTTTGTTTTTTTTGAGATGGAGTTTCGCTGTTGTTACCCAGACTGGAGTGCAATGGCACCATCTCGGCTCACTGCAACCTCCGCCTTCTGGGTTCAAGCAATTCTCCTGCCTCAGCCTCCCGAGTAGCTGGGACTACAAGCACACACCACCATGCCCAGCTAATTTTTGTATTTTTAGTAGAGACGGGGTTTCAGTATGTTGACCAGGATGGTCTCGATCTCCTGACCTCGTGATCCACCTGCCTCAGCCTCCCAAAGTGCTGGGATTACAGGTATGAGCCACTGCACCCAGCCCTCTATTTTTATTTTTTTAAAAATGTAATTGCTCCAGATGAGAACATCAAGGCTGAGGGTATTGAGTATAGAGAGAGGTCTGAGCTCTGGGTGGCCTGTCCCCAAGCCAACACTCATTTAGACCAACTGCCTCTGGGCTTGTGCTCACCAAGTGAGCCCAGGGGCCAGTGTGCAAGCTTGCAGAGGGAAAGCAGACTGGTTACATGCAGGGAGTAGGCCCTAGGGGTGAGTGGCCTTTCGGGACTTTTTTAGAGACAGGGTTTCACTCTGTCACCCAGGCTGGAGCACAGTGGCACAATCACAGCTCACTGCATCCTCGACCTCTACCTCAGCATCAGGCTCAGGTGATCCTCCTACCTCAGCCTCCCAGGTAGCTGGGACTACAGGTGCATGCCCAGCTCATTTTTTGTAGAGACGGGGTTTCACCATGTTGCCCAGGCTGATCTCAAAAACTCCTAGGCTCAACCCATCCACCCACCTTTGTCTCCCAAAATGCTGGCACTGCACCCAGCCTGACTTCTAATTTTTTTTTGAGACAGTCTTACTCTATCCCCAGGATGGAGTGCAGTGATGTGATCTCAGCTCACTGCCACCTCCTCCTCCCAGGTTCAAGGGATTCTCCTGCCTCAGCCTTCCGAGTAGCTGGGACTAGAGGCATGCACCACCATGCCCAGCTAATTTTTGTATTTTTAGAAGAGGCAGGGTTTCACCATGTTGGCCAGGCTGGTCTGGAACTCCTGGCCTCAAGTGATCTGCCCACCTCAGCTTCTGAAAGTGCTGGGATTACAGGCCTTGGCTATCATGCCCAGCCTGAGTGTTCATTCTTTTTTTTTTTTTTGAGATGGAGTTTTGCTCGTTACCAGGCTGGAGTGCAATGGCGTGATCTTGACTCACCACAACCTCCACCTCCTGGGTTCAAGCAATTCTCCTGCCTCACCATGTTGACCTGGATGGTCTTGATCTCTTGACCTCGTGATCAACCCTCCTTAGCCTCCCAGAGTGCTGGGATTATCGGCATGAGCCACGACACCCAGCCCAAGTATTCATTCTTAAAGCATTTGGTGGCCTTAGTGAGGCCCCTGTAGCCAACCCCATCAGTGGTGGCCTTCGTCCAGGAAAAGCACACCTGTGAGCTGGCCGGCACCAGCCTCTGGTGCTGGGCATGAGGCAGGAAACAAGCCCCTTCATCTTCTGAGCTGAGCCCAGCACTTTCCGGACACTCCTGCCATGGCGAGCAGATACCCAGCAAACATTTTTCCAGGGCTACTACCAAAAGCCAGCATTTACCTGTGTGAGAGCTTATATGCAACACAGAAGAGCTTCTAACAGTTATACATTTATTTTCATGTGTAAGAAGAAAAACATTAGCACGTGAGCATGACTGCATGGATACACGGCTCAGCGCAAGGCTGAAGTCAGAAGTGAGTGAAAACAAAATAGCATGTTGATTTAAATGAAATAACACGAGGCCTTTGGTTATAACAATTGTGGAGGTGGTCTGTGAGTGCAGAAGTTTGGGATGCCCTGCTTTAGGCTTAGGGCGAGATGCTGAGCTCTGGACTGAAGCCCCTTGGGCTCTATAGAGAAGCTTGCCCAGTGCACGGCACCTGTGGGAGTCTCCCGGGAGCCTGTGGGACAGTGAGACCCCAGGGAGGAAAAGGAAAGCACCTTCTTTCTTTTTTGAGACGCAGTCTTGCTCTGTCACCCAGCTGGAGTGCAGCAGCAAAATCTCAGCTCACTGCAACCTCCGCCACCCGGGTTCAGTTCAGCCTCCTGAGTAGCTGAGACTACAGGCATATGCCACCATGCCCAACTATTTATTTTTTTTTTTTTTTTGTATTTTAGTAGAGACAGGGTTTCACCATGTTGGCCAGGCTGGTCTCGATCTCCTGACCTTGTGATTTGCCCGCCTCAGCCTCCCAAAATGCTGGGATCACAGGTGTGAGCCACCACGCCCAGCCTGGAAAGCACATTGTTTCACTTGTCCATGCCCTGCAAAATGTCTTAGAAGGGATGAAGCAACAATGTTAATTCTCATTCAAAAGGAATCTTTCAGGTGTGGCCTCGAGGAGGCAGTGGATACAAGACAGGCTGGGCTGCAGGGCCCAAGTGGGACTTGAGGTCATAAGCGGGGGACAAAGGGACACCTGTCCCAGCATCATTTTGGAGAAGTGCTTGTGTGTTTTGGATGGGAGGGGGGTGTATGGCTCCTGTCATGGGTCCAGGAGGCACACTCGGCCCCTGCACCCTGTTCCCAGCATGCAACAGGCTCTCACTGCATGCCTGCTGACTCACTGCAGCACTGGGAGGAGGTGCTAGAAGGCAGGTGGGTGCTGCTGACATCCCAGGGAGTCTGTGAACCACCCTCTTCTCCTGGGTCTGGGCCCCAGCCCCAGTTTAGCATAACCTATGCCAGGGTGGGGAAGTCCAGGGCTGTGTCCCCACTGAGTCCCATTCTCCCACGTGTGAACCAAGGGGAGGTGTTTGCTACTATGCTCTCTCCCCTAAATCCAAAGAATGCTGGTTCCCATCATTTCAACCTCAACATTTTCAAAAAGCATTTTTTCTTTTCCTTTTTTTTTTTTGAGACAGTCTCTCTCTGTCTTCCAGGCTGGAGTGCAGTGGTGCAATCGCCGCTCACTGCAATCTCTGCCTCCCAGGTTCAAGTGATTCTCCTGCCTCAGCCTCCCACGTAGCTGGAGTTATAGGCATGCACCACCACGCCCAGATAATTTTTGTATTTTTAGTAGAAATGCGGTTTCGCCACGTTGGCCAGGCTCGTCTCAAACTCCTGACCTCAGTGATTCACTCACCTTGGCCTCCCAAACTGCTGGGATTACAGGCATGAGCCACCATGCCTGGCCTAAAAAGCCCTTTTCAAGGAATCTTGGAGTTTTTCCTCAAACAGCTCAACCCTACAACAGGCCAGGCTGGTCCCAGCACCCCTACCAGATAGCTACAGTCAGTGATAGGGGTCCAAGTACCCTGGCAGACTTCCCCAAGCTTTCCCCTGGAAGTGGGGTGGGCCCAGTAGGGAATTCTGGGGGTGACACTCATGGTCCAGGAGTCTTCTGGTGCCCAGAGGGTAGAGGAGGAGTGGAAGGTCAGGGGGCACTCAGCCCGCTGTGTCCTGGAGGCTGAGATGACTTGCAGTCTGGTCTCTATGGGGGCTCAGAAAGAAAGTGTTCAAGAGCAGGTCAGGAAGGGAAACCAAGTCAGGGAAGGGTCCCCAGCCGGGGCTAGTGGTCCATTCACTGCCCGACACCCAGAGGGTGCTCTTAGCAGCACCCTGCAGCACTCCGCTTCACATGGCACGGCTTGCAGAAGAGACGGTTGTTCAGGGGGTAGCAGCCTTGGTCCGTGGGCTCCACAGACAGGAGGATCCTGCAGTCCTGGGGAGATAAGGACACCTGCAGACCCACCCCAGGCCTGGGCACTGCCTGCACAGTGGAGGAACTCACTTGGCATCTGCCACCTAAACCAACTGCATGAGTGGAAGTGCTCCTTAAGCATGAGGAAGGAGGCTGCTCGTGGCTGTCCTTCCAACACCTGGGCCAGGTCTCCATAAGGGAATACAAGACACAGACACACACAGGGGCTTTAATCCACGTGGAGGCGTGGGTGAGGACGGACATTCACTGTCAGGAAGACTGAGGACACCTGGGGGAGTCCCCTGAGTGTTCAGGGAAGGTTGGGGCTAGAAGGGCCTTAATAGTCCCTTTATCATTTTTTTAAGGCTGGGAGCAGGGGCTCACGTCTGTAATCCCAACACGTAGCGAGGCTGAGGTGGGCGCATCACCTGAGGTTGGGAGTTCGAGACCAACCTGACCAATTTTGAGAAATCTCATTTCTACTAAAAATACAAAATTAGCCAGGTGTGGTGGATGGAGCATGCCTGTAATCCCCGCCAGTCGGGAGGCTAAGGCGGGAGAATCGCTTGAATCCAGGAGGTGGAGTTTGCGGTGAGCTGAGATCGTGCCACTGCACTCCAGCCTAGACAACAAGAGCGAAACTCCTTCTCAAAAATAAATAAATATTTTTTAATATTTGTTTTTATTATTCATTTATTTTGAGACAGAGTCTTGCTCTGTTGCCCAGGCTGGAGTGCAGTGGCACGATCTCAATTCACTGCAACTTCCATCTCCCAGGTTCAAGCAATTCTCCTGCCTCAGCCTCCCAAAGTAGCTGGGATTACAGGCATGCACCACCATGCCTGGCTAATTTTTGTATTTTTAGTAGAGACAGGGTTTTGCCATGTCAGCCAGGCTGGTCTCCCACTCCTGACTTCAACTGATCCACCTGCCTCCACCTCCCATGCTGGGATTGCAGGTATGAGCCACTGTGCCCAGCCTAACAGCCCCTTTAGAACATAAATCCTGTGAGACAGGAACCTTGTTTATGGCCAAGTCTCCAGCCCAGCCCAGCACAGCCAGCCGTGGCTGGGATACCTTTGTTTCCAGCTGTGAAACTCTTTGTTTCACAGTTGGGGTACCAAGGCCCCAGGTCACACAGCCAGTTCTGGAGCCGGGTCCAGGGGACTTTTTGGGGCTCCATGGCCCACACAGCTTCAAAACTGGCACAAATATTAGTATTTTCAATTTTTCAAATCACCAAGGATTTCAGAACGAGGAACAGAGGGATTCGGGGCCCAAACTGCCAACATCACTGTTCTGCCCCAGAAACCTCCCCTGGGCACATGCTGGAGAATGACAGAAGGGCAAATTTGTGTGTAAAACCTTGGTTCTGGGCACCCTTTGGAAGCTGATTGATCCCACAAGAGTCCCTATAGGGACAGTAGGGACCCAGTAGGGACCAGGGTCTGCAATCTGCCTTCCTCCATGGCTAGCTGGGTGAGGCACCCTTCAGTGTCTTCCCTGCAAGGCCACTTGAGTCTCCTAAGTGGACTCCGGGCTACACACTTGCAGCATCTGTGCCACCTGTGACCCCTCCTAAATGAGAACCAATTGGAGGAAACACCTCATCTATTGCCAAGTCTCACACCATCTGCAAGGCAGCCGTGTGGCGGCTGAAAGCTCACCCAACCCAGCCCACGCAAGCGTGGCTGGGACCACTTTTCTGAGATTATTTGCCTGTTTTCCCTTCTCTCTCTCTCTCTCTCTCTCTTTTTGACAGGGCCTCACTCTGTCACCTAGGCTGGAGTGCAGTGGCATGATCATGGTTCACTGCGGCCTCCACCTGTGTCAGGTCCAAGCAATCCTCCTGCCTCAGCCTCCAGAGTAGCTGGCACTACAGACAGGTACCACCATGCCTGGCAAATACAAAAAAATTTTTGTAAAGATGAGGTCTCATTGCCCAGGCTGGCTTCAAACTCCTGGGCTCAAGGGATCCTCCTGTCTCAGCCTCCCAAAGTGCTGGGATCACAGGTGTGAGCCACCACCACACCCCATCAGTTTCCTCATCTTACATGGGGACAATAAACGCCATCTCAAAAGGCTATCACTAGGATTAAAGAAGGTGATGTTAATGAAGGCATTTTATACATTTTAAAACATTACCTATGTAGAAAAGTATTATTATACTTCCAACAATAGTCATAAATAATATGGACCCCAAGGCAAGTAGAAATGGTGAGATGCAGGTGTGGGTAGTGTGCAGAAACCCATTTTCCTTCTTAGGAAATAGCACTCAACTCCTTCCAGGCTGCTGTGGCTCAGAAGCCTCATTTTAAAATTTTATTATTATTATATTTTTGAAACGGAGTCTTGCTCTGTTGCCCAGGTGGAGTGCAGTGGCACAATCCTGGCTCACTGCAACCTCTGCCTCCTGGGTTCAAACGATTCTCCTGCCTCAGCCTCTCAAGTAGCTGGGACTCCAGACATGTGCCACCATGCCTAATTTTTTTTTTTTTTTTGAGACAGTGTCTCGCTCTGTTGCCCAGGCTGGAGTGCAGTGGCATAATCTCGGTTCACTGCAACCTTTGCCTCCCAGGTTCAAGTGATTCTCCTGTCTCAGCCTCCCAAGTAGCTGGAACTACAGGTGCACACCACCACGCCCAGCTAATTATTACATTTTTAGTAGAGACAGGGTTTCACCATGTTGGACAGGCTGGTCTCATTCTCTTGATCTCATAATCCACCCACCTTGGCCTCCCAAAGCACTGGGGTTACAGGTATAAATCACTGCACCTGGCCTAATTTTTGTATTTTTAGTAGAAACTGGGTTTCGCCATGTTGTCCAGGCTAGTCTTGAAATCCTGACTGCAAGTGATCCATCTGCCTTGGCCTCCCAAAGCGCTGGGATTTTTTTTCTTTTCTTTTTTTTTTTTTGAGATGGAGTTTCACGGTTGTTACCCAGACTGGAGTGCAATGGCACGATCTCAGCTCACTGCAACCTCCGCCTTCTGGGTTCAAGCAATTCTCCTGCCTCAGCCTCCCGAGTAGCTGGGACTACAGGCGCGCACCACCATGCCCAGCTAATTTTTGTATTTTAGTAGAGACGGGGTTTCACTTTGTTGATCAGGAGGGTCTCGATCTCTTGACCTAATGATCCACCTGCCTCAGCCTCCCAAAGTGCTGGGATTATAGGCATGAGCCACCATGCCCAGCCCAAAGCGCTGGGATTACAGGTATAAATCACTGCACCTGGCCTAATTTTTGTATTTTTAGTAGAAACCGGGTTTCGCCATGTTGTCCAGGCTAGTCTTGAACTCCTGACTGCAAGTGATCCATCTGCCTGGGCCTCCCAAAGTGCTGGGATTACAAGCATGAGCCACCGTACCTGGCCAAGAGCCTCATCTTCTGACACATAACTGCCAGAGTCCAAATCCTGACTTACGACAGGAGCCTTGGCCAACTCCCCGGATGGTTTATGTGCTTCCTGGCCAGGCTCAGGAAAGTGCCAGTCACTGCTGGCACTCATTAGGACGATGGTGGGGATAATAGCACTTGAACTTCCTCATTGGGCTTTCAAAATGCATTATCAGCAGGACTTTGAACTACAATCAACAGACAATGTAATGATGCAGCAATTTATCAACTTCTCTACCCAGCTCCCTTGACAACCTCAGTGAAAATAGCCTCTGGGTTCCCGTATCTGTTTAAATAAATGGGAGTGAACAGGGGTTAAGAATTACTCATCGGCTGAGTAAGATATTTGCTCTGGGGCTCTCCACTTGGGTCCTCCCATAAACGTTGCCACCTTGTCACCATCACCAGAGAAGGTAGAAGCTTCAGTGATAAGGAGCTGGCAGTAGAAGGGGTGGGAGAGGATTCCTGGAGGCTCCTCAGCAGCACTAACTACATAATTTGTAGGATCCAGGACAAAATGAAAATGTGGGGACCCTTGTTCAGAAATTAAGAATTTTGGTTGGGTGTGGTGGCTCATATCTATAATCCCAGCACTTTGGGAGACTGAGGTGGGCAGATCACTTGAGGTCAGGAATTCAAGACCAGCCTGGCCAACATGGTGAAACCCTGTCTCTACTAAAAATACAAAAATTAGACCAGCATGGTGGCAGTGCCTGTAATTCCAGGTACTTGAGAGGCTGAGGCAGAGAATTGCTTGAACCCAGGAGGCAGAGGTTGCAGTGAGCTGAGATTATGCCACTTCCCTCCAGTCTGGGCAACAAGAGGGAGACTTCATCTCAAAAAGAAAAGAGATGGAGAGAATCCTGATGCCATCACTCAATACCACCAGTGATCCTACCGCCGTGAGCCAGCAGACTGCCTTTTTTGCAGAAAGCAATTTGAGTTTGGTTTCTATCATTAACACAAAGAGTTCTGATTAATAGACTATAGTTGTATTTCCTTTATCTTCTGTTTCTGTTACTGGACAGTGAGCAATTTGAGAACAGAGCCCCCACCCTGACCCGTCCCCATGTCTCAGAACCCAGCCAAGGGCCTGGCACACGATTGAATATTAAACCACCTGGGCTCCACTCACCTCACACCTGTAGCAATTTTCATGGAAGTTTCTTCCCATGCACTCGATTTGAAGGCATCCTTCCCGTCCCGAGGAATGATGGGATTCTCACAGATGCTGCAGATAGGGGCAAATTTCCTAGAAGCAAAGGAACCCATGCTTGGTAGGTGTTCATGCCGCAACCACAGAAATTAATTAGCTGTCAGAACTCGGGCTGGAGTTCACCTCCTGAGCAATTTCAGACCCGTTGCTATGAGATTGCACCGGCAGCTACAAGCAGAGATGTCTATTTCTTCCTGGCAGGAGCAGGTGCAAGAGACCTGTGGAATGAGACCTGGTTTCCCAGCATCACTAGAGATTTCTGAATTGAGGACAATCTCCAGTGAGGCTGGGAAACCGGGTCTCATAGAGGTTCAGTTGGGCTGGAATGCATCTCATCTTTTTTTTTTTTTTTTTTTCCAATAATTCTTTCCTTTTTCAGAGGCACACCTGTCTCTCCCCTTGTGTGGTAAACAACTCATGGGCAGAAACTGAGTCCAATGGATACTCATGTGCCTGTACTGCTTCAAGAAGCTCCAAGGGCAGGCCCCAAGGTTTGGGGTTTCAGAGCAAGGCCCCCAAGTCAGGTCCTTGGGAATTTGCATACTTACCAAGAGCTTCAATACTTACCTGTGGGGAGACTTTGGGTACTTAGCTGCTGTGTGACTTGGATGGTAAATTAGGACTCTTAATAGTACTTGCCTGTGAGATTATATTTATTTTTTATCTTATTATTTTTTTGAGATGGAGTCTAGCTCTGTCACCCAGGCTGGAGTGCAATGGCACCATCTTGGTTCACTGCAACCTCCACCTCCCAAATTCAAGAAATTCTCCTGCCTTAGCCTCCCAGTAGTTGGGATTACAGGCACCTGCCACCACACCCAGCTAATTTTTATATTTTTAGTAGAGACGGGATTTCACCAGGTTGGTCTTGAACTCCTGACCTCATGATCCATCTGCCTTGGCCTCCCAAAGTGCTGGGATTACAAGTGTGAGCCACTGTACCCGGCTAATATTTTAGTACATTTCGAGACAGGGTCTCACTACAGGCTGGAGTACAGTGGCATGACTGTGGCTTACTGCAGCCTCTACCACCCGGGTTAAGCAATCCTTCTATCTTAGTCTCCCAAGTAACTGGGACCACAAGCGCATGCCACCATGCCTGGCTAACTTTTTTGAAATTTTTGTAGCAACGAAGTCTCATTATTTTGCCCAGGCTGATCTCGAACACCTGGCCCCAAGCAATCCTCTTGCCTCAGCCTCCCAAAGTGCTGGGATTACAAGGATGAGCCATGGTGCCTGACCTATTTTTTTTTTTTTTTGAGACAGTTTTGCTGTGGCCCAGGCTGAAGTGCAATGGTGTGATCTCACTCACTGCAACTTCTGCCTCCCAGGTTCAAGTGATTCTCATGAATCAGCCTCCCGAGTAGCTGGGATTATAGGTATGTGCCATCATGGACAGCTAATTTTTGTATTTTCAGTAGAGATGAGGTTTCACGATGTTGCCCAGGCTGGTCATGAGCTCCTGATCTCAGGTGATCCACCCACCTTGGCCTCCCAAAGTTCTGGAATTACAGGATGTAATATTCTGTTGTTTTTTTAAGATGGAATCTCACTCTGTTGCCTAGGCTGGAGTGCAGTGGCACGATCTCCACTCACAGCAATCTCCACCTCTCGGTTTCAAGTGATTCTCCTGCCTCAGCCTCCAGACTAGCTGGGATTACAGGCATGTGCCACCACACCCAGCTAATTTTGTATTTTTTTTAGTAGAGATGGGGTTTCTCCATGTTGGTCAGGCTGGTCTCGAACTCCTGACCTCAGGTGATCTGCCCACCTTGGCCTCCCAAAGTGTTGGGATTACAGATGTGAGCCACCGCATCCAGCCCTATAATATTCTTTATAATAAACCAATAGACAGAAACTCTGGCCCAGCCCCCAGGACTAAAGCTCAGCTCCTTCATCCTGCTTCATCCTGGGTCTCACCCAGTCCCCACACCCTACCCAGTGTGCAGACCCCTCTCATACCTGTAGAAGTCGTCCAGGCAGTATACCTCGTTCTGGCTGCCCAGGGCAAAGCTCTCATCCCCGATGCACCGGGAGCAGGTCACACATGTGAAGCAGGAGGGGTGGAAGGCCTGGCCCAGGGCCCTGATGATGTGCTCCCGGACCACCTCGCCACACTTGCCGCACTTCTCCAGCGTGTCCTGGGACAGAGGCTACTGCCAGAGCCATCCACAGCACACCCACCCCAAGTCACAAGGGTTGCCTTCTTCTGGGAGGCTGCCCTCGGGGGCCCAGGAGCTAGGAAGTACAGGAGAGGCCTGCAGACAGCCCGTGACTATTGCCCAAAACCTCCACCTTTGATTATAACAAATTGAGCATAGTCTTGCATCCTTGGCTTACAGCAAGGAATACTGCTCTGATGCTACTTTTGTACTGCCTTTCTTGTTACTGGGACATGTTTAGGGCCAGCGTCCACAGAGAGCATAGGAGAAAACTCTCTTAAAAACCTCAGGGTCGGGAAAAAAAATCCTTAGGAGAGTTGGCGTGCTTTTATTATATGACAATAAACGAAATGGCTCTGAGCTCCCAAGTGGCCAAATGGAAAAGGGAAAGAATTTCAAGGCTTATTGTCTGTATGATTCCATAGGAATCATTCATTATAGGGCTTTTTTGTTGTTATTTGGTTTTCGTTTTGTTTTATTCTGGGACAGAGCCTCACTCGGTTACCAAGGCTGAAGTGCAGTGGCCCAATCTCAGCTCACTGCAAGCTATATGAGGTTCAAGTGATTCTCAAGCCTCCTGAGTCTCCAGCTGGGACTACAGGTGTGTGCCACCACGGCCAGCTAGTTTTTTGTATTTTTTGTAGAGATGGTGTTTCACCATGTTGGTCAGACTGGTTTTGAACTCCTGACCTCAAGTGATCCACCTGCCCTGGCCTCCCAAAGTGCTGGGATTACAGGCGTGAGCCGCTGCATCAGGCCTGCTCACACATCTGTGTAGTAATATTCCCTCTGATCTCGTCTCACTTTCTATTTTAATTTTCATTCTGTTTAGATGTTTTTGTTTATTTTACATATCATAGTATTACTGCAGTCTTTAAAAGAATTGTTTTAATAGGGGAAGAACACTTGAGATCTACCTTTTTTTTTTTTTTTTATATGGAGTCTTGCTCTGTCACCCAGGCTGGAGTGCAGTGGCATGATCCTAACTCACTGCAACCTCCAGCTCCCAGGTTCAAGCTATTCTTTTGCCTCAGCCTCCTGAGTAGCTGGGATTACTGGCATACACCACCGCACCCGGCTAATTTTGTACTTTTAGTAGAGATGAGGTTTTTCCATGTTGGTCAGACTGGTCTCAAACTCCCAACCTCAGGTGATCCACCTGCCTCGGCATCCCAAAACTCTGGGATTATAGGCGTGAGCCACCACACCTGGCCGAGATCTGCCTTAACAAATTTTTCAGTGCACCACATTATTGTGGTTATAGGTATATATGCATTCTTTTAAAAAATGTATTTTAATAAAGAACTATTTTAAAATAGAGATGGAATCTTGCCACGTTGTCCAGGCTGGTCTTGAACCCCTGGCCTCAAGTAATCCTTCCACCTCAGCCTCCCAAAGTGCTGGGATTGCAGGTGTGAGCCGCTGTGCTGGCTGGTATATATGCACTCTTAGAAGCTGCCTCAAATTCCTTCTGGAATGGGGAGGAATGACAGAGAGATTACCGAGCCAGAGCAGCGGGCCTCCCTCTAGCCTTTCCACCTTTTCTCCTGGACACGCTGTCTCTCCTTCCTGGCTGTGCTCCTGCGCATTTTAACTTGACCCCACCTGGACAGATATGGGGGGCAGCAGTTCTTGCTCCCTCCCTCCCTCTCATGGGCATGGCCCTTCTCTTCCTAGCACAATGCTCAAGTCTTCCTCCTGGCTGCTTCCAGCTGGAAACCCCTCCTCACCCCTCCTACCCCAATGTCTCATCCTTGAGTGACACTCCCCTGTCATGTTGATGGGGCCACAGGGACAGGGCAGGAGGGCCTGGCTCCTCTTTCCTCCCACAGTGCCTCACTGGTGGTGAGCCTGGAATCGGATTATTTAGATTCTTCTGGAGAGTCTCAGCTCCAAATACCCTAGACCCTCAAATCAGCTATTCTCCTTCTCTCCCTCCTTCCTTCCTTCCTTTCTTTTTTGAGACACAGTCTGGCACTGTCGCCAGGGCTGGAGTACAGTGGCATTATCTCGGACACTCAACATACCACCACAAACCATCCAAGAGTCAGAATTTCCAATATGCTGGCATCCCAACCAGCTCTCCCAGATTGCACGTGGTACCCAGACACAACACAGATTCTGGTGACATCAGCACTGGAAACTTATGGCTCCAGGGGAGACACTGACAAGACTGATGGCAGGCTCCAGAGCCAGACAGGTCTGGAGCAAAATCCCAGCGTCTTGGCCGCTTCATGTGGTAGCTAAGAGATGTCCCCAAAGATATCCAGGTCCTTACCTCTGGACCGTGTGAATGCTCAGATGATCCCTGAGTTAGGCTCTTAAGATGGGGAGGTTATCCTGATCATCCAGGTGGGTCCTAAGTACCATCACAGCGTGCCTCTAATTTGACACAGCAGTGGCCATACGGCCGCCGAAGTGGGATGTCACACTGCTGGCTTTGGAGGTGGAGGAAGGAGCCAAGGAGACTGCAGCTGCAGAAACCGTAAAAGGGGCAGGCACAGTGGCTCATGCCTGTAATCCCAGCACTCCGGGAGGCCAAGGTGGGTGGATCACCTGAGGTCGGGAGTTCAAGACCAGCCTAACCAACATGGAGAAACCCCATCTATACTAAAAATACAAAATTAGCCAGGCATGGTGGTGTATGCCTGTAATCTCAGCTACTTGGGAGGCTGAGGCAGGAGAATCGCTTGAACTTGGGAGGCAGAGGTTGTGGTGAACCGAGATCATGCCATTGCACTCCAGTCTGGACAACAAGAGTGAAACTCTGTCTCAGAAAAAAGAAAGAAAGAAACAGCAAAAGGGGCTGGGTGCAGTGCTCCCAGCACTTTGGGAGGGTGAGGGGGTGGATCCCTTGAGGTCAGGAGTTCTAGACCAGCCTGGCCAACATGGTGAAACCCTGTCTCTACTAAAAACACAAAAATTAGCCAGGTGTGGTGGCGGGCTACTTGGGAGGTTGAGACATGAGAATCGCTTGAACTCAGGAGGCAGAGGTTGCAGTGAGCCGAGATTGCATGACTGTACTCTAGCCTAGGTGACATAACAAGCCTCTGTCTCAAAACAGAAGACACTGCAAAAGGCAGAGAGATTGGATTCTTGCCTCAAGCCTCCAGGCAGCATACCACCTTGACTGTGGCCCAGTGAAGTTGACTGTGGGCTTCTGACCTCCAGAACTGGGACAGAATAAACGTATATTGTTGGAAGCCACCAAGGTTGTGGTGATCTCTTACAGGCAGCCCTAGGAAACTAATCGTCTTTTCTGGGCTCCTTCTTTCTGAGCCTCAGTTTTCTCATCTGTTAAAGGGGTCAATAGTGCCTACTTCCCAGGATCATGGGGGAATGAAATAGTGCAATGTCTCCTAAGTACCCAGCTCAGTGCCTGGCACCCAGAGATCTGCTGCGGGGCTTACCTGGTAGCAGGGTTCACAGAGGGGTCTCCCATCCTTCTGGTAGAATCTCTGCCCGGCCAGCTGGTGGCGGCAGGTGCGGCACGTGAAGCACTGGGCATGGTACTGCTTCTTCATGGCCTCCACAGCCAGCTCTCGGGGGGACACGGTCTTGTGGCAGAAGGCACAGATGTCTGGGATAGGGGAGACAGCCCATCACCAGCCCAGCCTGCGAGAACCGTACCCAGGCACCACCCAGAACATGTCTAGGGAACCTGAGGCTGTGTCTTAAACCCTGCAAATCCCTCAACTGACAAATACAGAGGGTTGTGAGGAGCATTTAAAAGGAATCTGGGGTCGGGCATGGTGGCTCATGCCTGTAATCCCAGCACTTTGGGAGGCCGAGGCAGGAGGATCATGAGGTCAGGAGTTCAAGACCAGCCTGGCCAACATGGTGAAACCCTATATCTACTACAAATACAAAAATTAGCTGGGCATCTCTACCAAAAATACAAAAATCAGGGGGCTAAGGCAGGAGAATCACTTGAACACAGAAGGCAGAGGTTGCGGTGAGCTGAGAGCGTGCCACTGGACTCCATCCAGTCTGGTGACAGAGCGAGACTCTGTTTCAGAAAAAAAAAAAAGGAATTCTGGACAGCAGCTTCAGGACAAAGGGATTGTTGGCTGAAAATAAATAAATAAAAGAGGGGGCTCCACAGCAATACCTTACACCTGGATAATCCCAAATTATCAAAGATTTAAATGTAAAAAAAGAAAACCGTAAGAATACTAGAAAAAACAAGAAGAGAATTACTGTACAACTCTGAAGAAGGGCCACTCTAATCACGGCCAAAATCCAGAAACCAGTAAAGGGCAGAGACATTTGACTACAGAAAAATTAAATTTTTTATGGATGACAAAAGTCACCATAAGTCAAAGGGCAAATGACAAAATGAGAAAAATATCTGCAACTTGTATCACAGACAAAAACTCAAGGGCTGGGCACAGTGGCTCATACCTGTAATCCCAGATGTTTGGGAGGCTGAGGGAGGAGGACTGCTTGAGGCCAGGAACTGGAGACCAGCCTGGGCAATATAGTAAGACCTCATCTCTAGAAAAGATTTAAAAATTAGCTGGGTGTGGGCTCTTGAGTAGCTGGGATTACAGGCACACACCACCACACCCAGATAATTTTTGTATTTTTAGTAGAGACAGCGTTTCACCATGTTGGCCAGGCTGGTATTGAACCCCTGACCTCAAGTGATCCACCTGCCTCGGCCTCTCAGAGTGCTGGGATTACAGGCCTGAGCCACTGCACCCATCCAGGAGCCACTTTATATTCTGATGTGTGACCAGCTCTGAGCTGTAGGAAGGAAAGAAAGTGAACAGCAGAAGGGCCTGGTTTGCTACTTATGGAAAAATGGGGGGAGTGGGTGGACACATATTTGTATTTGCTTGTATGGGCACAGTGTCTTTGGCAGGATACACAAGAGCTCAATGAATGACAGAGGACACCCATCCTGAAGGAAACCGGGTGGCTTGGGGACAGGGCAGGTCTCAGGCTTCTCACTGTGTCCCCCTCACGCTGTCTATTTCGCACTACGTGAGGGCATTAGGGATTCAAAAAAATAAAATAGTGGAGAAAAAATTTAAGGCATTTTTGCTATCATAGCAAACCGTGCAGATAAACATTTTAAATGGAATTTAGGTATGAAGGAGAAAAGGCTAAGGCGATACAAATTAAATGTATGCCCAACTGCAAAGCCCATTGTTGTCATGCGAGCTGGGGTGGGGATGGGAAGGGGGCCTCAGTCTCCTCACCTGGAAGCCCATGCTGGCCCCATGAGGTCGCCCAGGAATCCTCCCAGCCCTGTACACCTACCTGTGGACGCCTCTCTCTCAACAGGCTCTGCTGGAGGAGGTGGCAGCTCTTCCTCCACGGCCCTGAGGGGACCAGGCCCAGGTTGGACTGAAGGTACCTCTGCCAGGGCCTGTGGGGATGCAGAAGGGGAGTCACCCAGTGAGGACCCCATGCAGCGTCCCTAGCTCTGTTCCTCATCTGGGTGGCAACAAGTACAATTAGCCCCAGTGCACCGAGAAGGAAACTAAGGCCTAGGGAGGTGGAGGTTTCCATGAGCCGAGATCACGCCTTTGCACTCCAGCCTGGGTGACAAAGAGATTCCATCTCAAAAAAGAAAAAAACAGGTTTCCTATGCAGCCTAAGGGAGTTAGGTCAGACTCGGGGAAACCTCTTCCTCAGAGCTGAAGCGGGTGTCTGAGGGGTTCTGCAGGGAGGGAGTGCATGGCAGCCCTCTCCCGGGACTGTGAAACACTTAGCCAATTTTTACCTGACTGAATAGGGACTCCTGAAAGTTTCAAAGAATGAATGCCCCTGAGCAGATGAATGGACCAGACAACATCCAGGTTTAGAACCCCTGAATGCCCAGAAGGCCCAGACTCCCCGTCCCCCAACCCAGGGGACAAGGGATTGCTGAAGAGGGCAGTACCTGTGGTGGGGGTGGGGGCAGGGGCAGGTGCAGCTGCTCTAAGTCTGCAATGAGTGAGGCACCCATTGGAGCAGGAGCCTCCTCTTCAGAAGGCAGGAGCGCTGGAGGGGGCGGTGGAGGGGGTGGGAGGAGGTCCAGGTCGGGAAGTGCATCCTTGCCATCCAGGACAGGAGGAGGGGGTGGGCATCCTGCAACTGGGGAGGAAAAAGGGCTGGTCAGAGCCTCCCAGGTGGACAGGGGAGGGTTTTACTTACCCACATGGCCATATGGAGGGTAGCTAAGGGCTCGGGTCTGGGTCACCCCAGCCTGGGTTCCATCTCTAACTCTGTCACTGATTTGCTGTGTGTCCTTAGGCAAGAAACGTAATCTCAGGTCAGGCAAGGTGGCTCATGCCTATGATCTCAGTACTTTGGGAGGTCGAGGTAGGCAGATTGCTTGAGCCCAGGAGTTCAAAAGTAGTCTGGGCAAGATAGTGAGACCTTAACTCTACTAAAAAAAAAAATGTAGCCAGGCATAGCAGCCTGGCCATGTAGTCCCAGCTACTTGGGAGACCGACCTGGGAGGATCCCTTAAGCCCAAGAGATTGAGGCTACAGTGAGCTGAGATCACACCACTGCATTCCAGCCTGGGTCACAGAGGGAGACTCCATCCAAAAAGATACTCAAAAAAAAAAAAAAAAAAAAAAAAGGCCGCATGCAGTGGCTCATGCCTGTAATCCCAGCATTTTGGGAGGCTGAGGTGGGTGGATCATGAGGTTTGGAGTTCAAGACCAGCCTGACTAACAGGGTGAAACTCTATCTCTACAAAAAATACAAAAATTAGCTGGATGTGGTGGTATGTGTCTGTAATCTCAGCTACTTGGGAGGCTGAGGCAGGGAAATGGCTTCAACCCAGGAGGTGGAGGTTGTAGTGAGCAGAGATTGCCCCACTGCACTCCAGCCTGGGGGACAGAGCTAGATCAAAAATACATAAATAATAAAATAAAAAGAAATAAAAAAAAAAAAAGAAATAAAAGAAAGAAAAAGGAAACATAGTCTCTCCTGAGTCTTATTTTGTTCAGCTGAAAAATGGTCATCAGTCCCTTAGGCTCTGAGGATGAAATGAGATGACACACAGTGAGTGGCACATGTGGCAAGGGCTCAGAGAACAGCGGCTGTGAATGCCCTGCTCAGCAAGCCCCCTGCCAGGGGGCCTGAGTGCTCAAGAGTACCCCAGAGGCCCTTGTGGAAACAGAAGCATAACTGACCCCCGAGGCCGAGGCTCTCCCAGCATGGCCCCTGTAGTGACAGTAGCAGCATGACCCGGGAGCTTGTCAGCAATGCAACTTCTCCGCCTGCCCCAGACCTATAGAATTGGAAACCCAGGAGCTGGGGCAGCCGTGTGGATCTTAACAAGTCCTCCAGGTGATGCTGATGCTGCTTAGGTGTAGGGACAGTGCACCGCCCTAATGAAGTAACAGATCCAGGTCACGACCATCAGGTGTTGGAAGCACTGGGGGAAAGGTTCTCGGGAAACTTGCCAAGGTGGGGTCAGGCTGCTGCCACCTGGACTGACTTGTAGCCTTCGGCAGTCACGGAGTGGGGGTCTCCTGACTCGTGTGATGCCATGGCAAGCTATGGCACCTAGAAAATGTTCTTCAACAAGGCCGGGTGCAGTGGCTCACGCCTATGATCCCAGCACTTTGGGAGGCTGAGGCGGGTGGATCACAAGGTTACGAGATCGAGACCATCCTAGACAACGTGGTGAAACCCCTTCTCTACTAAAAATACAAAAATTAGCTGGGCATGGTGGCTCGTGCCTGTAGTCCCAGCTACTCAGGAGGCTGAGGCAGGAGAATTGCTTGAATCCAGGAGACGCAGGTTGCGGTGAGCCGAGATTGCGCCATTGCACTCCAGCCTGGGTAATAAGAGCGAAATTCCGTCTCAAAAAAAAAAAAAAGAAAATGTTCTTCAACAAACAAACAAAACCCCTCCATCTAATCGAGTCTCTGGAGTTAATCTGCATTAACAGATTCAGGAGGTAGAGGGGAAAGTTAAATGAGAACACGGGGAAGCAAAGGGACGAACCGGGCAGGTGGGATTTCTACAAAAACCGACCTTGTTTCTACAATAAGCCCATGGCATGAGGAAGAAAAACAGGGAGGACTGCCCCAGAATTAAGAGACTTAAGAGAAAAATGCATAGATTTGTGCTGTCCAATGTAGTGGCCACCAGCCACATGTGGCTACTGATTACTGGAAACGTGGAGGCCACACTGAGCTGTGGTAGGTGTCTTAGCATGCAAAAAAGCACCGCATCCTGAGGAACTGGGACCACAGGCACACACCAACACACCCAGCTATTCTTTTGTGTTTTTAGTAGCAACAAGGTCTTGCTATGTTGCCCAGGGTAGTTTTGAACTCCTGAGCTCAAGTGATCTGCCCACCTTGGCCTCCCAAAGTGCTGGGATTGCAGGCGTGGGCCACTGCACCTGGTCTAAATGGCATTTCTATGACAATCAGGGAAACTGAATTTTGAACAGAGATACGCAGAAGGCATTTTTGTTCAATGTGGTACTGTTTGGCACTGTGGTTACGTAAAAAAATGGCTATATTTAGAAAGACAGCCCTGACCAATGTGGGGCTGAAATGCTGCAAAGATTCAGGTTTCCTTTAAAATACTTTACAGGGCTGGGCATGGTGGCTCACGCCTGTAATCCCAGCACTTTGTGAGGCCGAGGCAGGTGGATCACGAGGTTAGGAGATTGAGACCATCCTGGCTAACACGGTGAAACCCTGTCTCTACTGAAAATACAAAAAATCAGCCAGGTGTGATGGTGCACACCTGTAGTCCCAGCTACTCAGGAGGCTGAGTCAGGAGAATTGCTTGAACCCAGAGGCAGAGGTTGCAGTGAGCCGAGACTGGGCCACTGCACTCCAGCCTGGAGACAGAGTGAGACTCTGTCTCAAAAACAACAACAAAAAACAACTATACAAAAGAAAAAGAAATAAAGGAATAGAATAAAATGTGGCCAAGTCTCCATCACTGTTGAAACCAGATGTAGGCGGCCGGGCGTGGTGGCTCACGCTTGTAATCCAAGCACTTTGGAGGCCAAGGTGGGTAGACCATCTGAGGTTGGGAGTTCAAGACCAGCCTGACCAACATGGTGAAACGTTTTAAAAAAAAAAAAGTAAGGAAACCAGATGTAGGCTATGTAGGGTCCTTGTACTGTACCCCCTACTTCTGCATATGTTTGAAAGTTTCATAAAACCACATCTTCACATCCCACGCTCACCCAGCCACCCATACCCCCAACACACCACAGACACACTGGCACAAAGTCACTTCCATTATTGGCACAGCTCCGCTCCTGCTCCCAGGAGCTGAGATTGGCAGAAAAGGAGGGCACAAGAGCTGCCCTTGATCCTGATGGCTGGTCAGGGGGCACAGACCCTCAGGGCTCCTGACAGGGAGGGAGGTGGGTGGCTCAGCTCCAGGCTCTTTCCTCCATCCAGGGACCATCAATGCTGTAACTGCCCCGCCCCCCCATGCCAGGCTGCCCAACAAGGAAGGCAGGAGGGAAGCCTCAGAGGGAGGCTGGGACCATGCCTGTGAAAGCCCTCTGTCTACTGCCCATACGGGGTGGGCACTGTGAATAGTGCCCTGGGGAGAAAAGGGTACTCTGCTTACCTCCTGGCACAGCTAAGGCCAGGCCCAGGAGCTCAGCCTAACTGAGATGTCTGTGGAAAGCAGATAGAAAGTGCTAGAGATCCCAGGGCGTCCAGGCCTGGCTGTAGCCCAATCTCCAGTTCATTCTTGGGGGCACCCTCCAGGCTTCAGGTTTCTCATCCATTCAATCAAGACAACCCCCCACCCCACCCCACCTCTCCCTGGGCTTGGAGGGAAGTACAGATGAGAAGCTGGTTCTATGCCTGTGGTCCTCACACTTGAGCTGGTGACAGAATCCCCTGGAGGGTGGGGGGACTTGCTCAAAGGCAGATCATTGGGCCCCAACCCGAGTTTCTGATCCAGCAGATCCAGGACAACGGGAATGTGTGTGTCTGATGAGTTCCCAGGTGACATTGATGCTGCTGGCCCAGGGGCCACACTCTGAGACGACTGTCCCAGCCCCAAAGTCCCACCTGCTTGACACCACTGAACTAGAATAACAGTTCTCTCTTTTTTTTTTTTTTGAGACAGAGTCTTGCTCTGTCACGCAGGCTGGAGGGCAGTGGTGCGATCTCAGCTCACGGCAACCTCTGTCTCCTGGGTTTAAGTGATTCTCTTGCCTCAGCCTCCCAAGTAGCTGGGACTACAGGCATGTGCCACCCCAACCAGCTAATGTTTTGTATTTTTTAGTAGAGATGGGTGTTTAGATATGTTGGCCAGGCTGGTATCGAACTCCTGACCTCAGGTGATCCGCCCACCTCGGCCTCCCAAAGTGCTGGGATTATAGATGTGAGCCACTGTACCCGGCCTAGAATAACAGTTCTTAAAGTGTGGTCCCCAGACCAGAGCATCAGCATGACCTGGCAAGGGGCAAGAAATGCAAACTATGCCGGGTGTGGTGGCTCATGCCTGTAATCCCAGCACTCTGGGAGGCCGAGGCGGGCAGATCACTTGAGCACAGGAGTTTGAGATCTGCCTGGGCAAGATGGCAAAAACCTGTCTCTACAAAACATACAAAAATTAGCTGGGCTTGGTGGCGAGGGCTTGTAGTCCCAGCTCCCTGGGAGGCTGAGGTGGGAGGATCACTTGAGCCAGGGAGGTTGAGGCTACAGTGAGCCATGATCACACCACTGCACTCCAGCTTTCGTGACAGAGCAAGACCCTGGAAAAAAAATACGCAAATTTTCGGGCCCCACAGTAGACCTGCTGAATCAGAGCTACCCAGGGTGGGAGCCGGCAACTGTGTTGGAACAGGCCTGGGTGACACTGCTGCTGACACAGCGGAAGTGTGAGAACCAGGCTCTGATGAGCTCACAGAGCCAGAATCCAGGTCTTGGAGAGGCAGTGAGAGTGCTGTGGCCTCTCCCAGTGCCTGCCCCCAGGGTAGGGCCCACAGAGGGCAGCAGGAATTCAATAGAGAAGCAGGTCGACCTGAGGCCACAGGGCAGGTGGGCAGAAAGGGGGTCCGGGACCCGCTTGAGGATGATTAAGAAGACAAGTACTAGGCAGATGGCAGCTGGCAGCCTGTAGTGTAAATGGCTTCGAGCAGCTGGCAGCATCCCCACGGCCCAGGGCCAGCCTTTGTGTCCTGAGATCACACCAGGAGCATGACGAGCTGCTCACATAAAACTATCTCATAGGCCGGGCGAAGTGATTCACAACTGTAATCCTAACACTTTGGGAGGCCGAGGTGGGTGGATCACCTGAGGTCGGGAGTTTGAGACCAGCCTGACCAGCATGGAGAAACCCTGTCTCTACTAAAAATACAAAAATTAGCTGGGCATCATGGTGCATGCCTGTAATCCTAGCTACGTGGGTGGCTGAGGCAGGAGAATGGCTTGAACCTGGGAGGCAGAGGTTGCGGTGAGCCAAGATCACCCCATTGCACTCCAGCCTGGGCAACAAGAGAGACTCTGCCTCAAAAACAAAACAAACAACCACTATCTCCCTTCAGGGAGACTGAACCCCAAGATCCCCATGCTCTGCTTGAGGGCATCAAATTGGCAGATGAAACAGCCAGCCAGCCATGCTGACCAGTGACAGGCCAGCCCTTCCCAAGGCAAGTTTGATCTTGTTCCCACACTCCCAAGATCCTCTTCCTATAATCCCAATAACCCATGAAAATGTCCTGGAAATTCTGACATCTAACCTCTACTTCCCTGGCTCCCCTGCCCACCCAGAAGGGGCACATCTTTTTTTTCCTGTTGGATCACATGCCCTGATATGTGAATTTTGTCAAGATGGCCCTCCTCTAAGGAGAGGTGGCTGGGAGGAGCCTCTGTTCTTGGGATGTGAGATTAGGAAGGAAAGATCAACGTAGGAGCATCCATCACAAGGAGGAAGCATGTTCCATGGACACCCAGGTGTACTTGAACCTGTGTGGCCCCTTGTATTGACCCTTTTCTGGCTTCCTGTAATCGATACTTCCTATTGGCCGCTGGGTGATTTCCATACTGATGATAGACAGGGCGGCCCCCGACCTGCTCCAGGACATCAGGACACCTGCCTAGGCACCTCGGGGATTCAGGGACTTAGCTGCCTCCCTGGGCTGGCCTCTGCCCCTTAGCTCTCCGCCAGTACCCTGTCAGCTGATGAGCCAACACCTTCCCCAAGCCCTGGACTGTCAACCTTCCTCACTCCTGCCCCTCATGATAGCTGAGACTTTCCTTGGGAGACACAGGGAAGAGAACTGAAAGGCTCTTCCTGTCCGACCAAGCCCAAGGGAATGGAACAGTCATTTGTGCTGTATTCATTTTGTGATTGATGATCACATCCACACCCGAATTTCCAGTTTCCGGAAGAGGACCTTGAGGCCCAGAGCAGCAGAAGGCTGGCTCCAATCACACAGCAAGTGAACAGCAGAGCCCAAGAGAAACAAAAGCAGGTTAAAGACCCTTCACCCACCAAATTGCTTCCTCCCTCAGGCCTCTGCACTGCCCTCAGACTTTATCTCCCCCTGGCCGGCTCCACGCTATCATTCAGGTTTCAGCTGAAATACCACCTCTTCAGAGAAGCCATCCTGAGCACCCTGTAAAAGCTGCCCCTTGGCTGGGCACGGTGGCTCACACCTATAATCCCAGCACTTTGGGAGGCCAAGGCGGACAGATCACCTGAGGTTAGGAGTTCAAGACCAACCTGGACAACATGGCAAAACCCCATCTCTACAAAAAATACAAAGATTAGCTGGGTGTGGTGGTGCATGCCTGTAATCCTAGCTACTCAGGAGGTGGGAGGCTGAGGCAGGAGAATAGCCTGAACCTGGGAGGTGGAGGTTGCAGTGAGCCGAGACCGTGCCACTGTACTCCAGCCTGGGCAACACAGTGAGACTCCGTCTCAAAACCAACAAACAAAAGCTGCCCCTCATCACCTCTCCACCACACTTTACTCTATGAGATCGCAGGTGTCTGCCCAACATCAGACATCATATTTTCATTATGTGCGCTCTGCACACTGGGATGGAAGCTTTGTTCAGGCTCAAAACCTCTCAGCACTTCCTGCGTGACACACCCAAGGCTAAACACTTTACAGGTATACTAACTCATGTAATTCTCACAACCACACTGAGGGAGGTACTGTCTTTATCTCTGTTTTACAGATTAGTAAACTGAGGTACGAGAGGTTAAGTGGCCTGCCAGGATCACCCAGCTGAGAAATGGAGAAGCCGGGGTTTGTACCTAGGCAAGTGGGTTCCAGAATCTGCCTGGCACTTAGTAGGGCTGAATGAATGAATGAATGAATGATGCTGGAGCCTGCCCTTTCCTCCCCACTTCTGTCTCTGACCTGGTCTTCTCCCAAGTTCCCTCCACTCTTACCTCCATTGGAGAGCTGCAGAGGTGCAGCTGGCACTGTGGCCGCAGCCTTGCCAGTGGGTGTCCAGAGACTGGGCCTCCCTGCTAAGCCAGCCCCGGGTGCCTTCATCGGGGCAGGAGCCTCCCAGGGGCAGCCATGCTGGGCCTCACAAACCGCCTGCCTCACTTCCTCCGCCACAGCCACATCGCGGCGCGGGGGTGCCAGGGTGATAAAGACAGATGACGCCACCCTCTTCTCAGGCTTTGAGGCCATGGCTTCAGCTCCTGGTGTGGCTAGGGACAGAATGGGGGATGGCACAGGATTGCCACCTGGACACACAGACACACTCCCTGAGGGCAGAGAGCCTCCCTCCCCACAAAAAGACAGGTCAGCCACCCCACCATGCCAACAACCCAGTCCAGCACCCAGCCCAGCCAGAGAAGGGGTGGGAGTATCCTGCTGGGGAGGGCAGGGGCCCATCAGGGTACTTGGCCATAGGGGTGAGACCCAAAAATCCTGACTGCCCCTCCCCCCAACCTTCACACCAAGGGGTGCAAAGGGCACAGATCACCTCACCAGGCACTCAGCTGCCACCCTGAGTCTAAGACCCATGAGGAAGGAACAGATCCTTCAGCTCCCAGCCTGGAGCCCCACCTGCCTGCTGGGCCACACCCCAAGCTACCTCCCTCACCTGGGATCTGATTCTCCTGGAAAGGCTGAAGTCCGGAAGGTTCAGGACAGCTCCACTTTGGGAGGGAAAGAGAACAGATTAGGATCTGTCACCGTGTCAGGGCTGGGCTCTGGCGGGGGGGGGCGGTGGGGTGGGCAGGACTCAGCGAGAGCTATCTTCACTGAGACCTGATCCGCCCTGAGCACGTTATGGTCGTTAACTCATAAACCCTCAGAAGGGACTGCGGGGCAGGCACTATCATCACCCACCTAACACATCAAGAATCGAGACTCAGAGAGAAGTCACTGTTCAGGGTCACACAGTGGTGAGGTGGCACTGGAACCCAGAGCCCATGCCCTTGGCCATTTTGCTCTGCCTTGCCCTCTCTGCCTTGCCCTCTCAGCCCAGTGCACGAGTCAGCACCCTCCATGCTTGCCTTCTAGTGCCGGAATCTCTCACTCCACCCGATCTCCAAAACCCTGGTCCTGGTTCAGGCCTGGGCAGGGGGCAGCGGGCAAGGGGAGAGATGGGGAGGCTCCACGGCCTCTGGTCTCACCTCCTAACCCTAAAGATTGATGTTTCTAGAACGTACATACTTCTACTTCACTCAACTCTGGGAAACAGAGCAAGACTGTCTTAAAAAAAAAAAAAAGAAAGAAAAAGAAAAAAGGCCAGATGCAGTGGCTGATGGCTGTAATCCCAGCACTTTGGGAGGCCAAGGTGGGTGGATGATCCTGAGGTTGGGAGATCAAGACCAGCCAGTCTCACCAACATGGAGAAACGCCATCTCTACTGAAAATATAAAATTAGTTGGGCATGGTGCTAAATTCCTGTAATCCCAGCTACTTGGGAGGCTGAGGTAGGAGAATCGCTTGAACTTGGGAGGCCGAGGTTGCAGTCAGTCAAGATCACACCATTGCACTCCAGCCTGGGCAACAAGAGCGATACTGTCTCAAAAAAGAAAAGAAAAGAAAAAGAGCATGGCTTTAGGAAGAAGGAGCCCCTGGACCACTCATCCTTCCCGCATCCTCTCTCAGGCCTTGGAGTGATTCTTCTACGGTTTTCCTCTCCTGCCCCCACAGGGTGAATTTGAGCTTTCTCTTAGAGGCCCAGCTCAAACATCACCTCCTCCACAAGGTCCTCCTGATTCCTGGCTCTCTCCAGGGGTGGTTTCTGCTGCCAAGGGTGATGACAGAGATGACAGCCCCAGGGCAGGACAGGCTGGCTCACAAGCTCACTATCAATGTGTGACCTTCAGCAGTACCTGAATTCTTTCTGTGCCTAGAGGGTAGCTCACAGTGCAGGCATCAAAGCACAGATCTGGCCGGGTGCAGTGGCTCACGTCTGTAATCCCAGCACTTCTGGAGGCAGAGGCTGGGGATCACTTGAGGTCAGGAGATAGAGACCAGCCTGGCCAACGTGGTGAAACACTGTCTCTAGTAAAAATACAAAATTTGGCCGGGCTCGGTGGCTCATGCCTATAATCCCAGCACTTTGGGAGGCCAAGGCAGGGGTGGATCACGAGGTCAGGAGTTCAAGACCAGCCTGGCTAACATGGTGAAAGCCCACCTCTACTAAAACTGCAAAAATTAGCTGAGTGTGGTGGCAGGCACCTGTAATCCCAGTTACTCAGGAGGCTGAAGCAGAGAACTGCTTGAATCCAGGAGGTGGAGGTTGCAGTGAGCTGAGATTGCTCCGCTGCTCTCCAGCCTGGGCGACAGAGGGAGGCTCAGTCTCCAAACAGACAAACACAAAAATTAGCCAGTCATGGTGGCTTGCACCTGTAGCTACTCAGGAGGCTAAGGCAGGAGAATTGCTGGAATCCTGGGAGGCAGAGGTTGCAGTGAGCTGAGATTGCGCCACTGCACTCCAGCCTGGGCGACAGAGGGAGACTCTGTCTGAAACAAACAAACAAAACAAAACAAAACAGATCTGAGAGCATGGTGGCACCCTGACATCCTGATGTCAGGAAAGGGCATTATTTCCCATATGTCACGTAGTTCCTGCTGACAGTAGCCTCTGCAGCCAAGGCTGAGGTGGGGACATGGTGGGAGATTTGGGAGTCCAGTGAACCCAGATGTCCTCACCAGGCCTGCAACAGTGGTGCCCAGGGCTAAAACACGTCTCTTTTTAGATCGAGCACAATGGCTCATGCCTGTAATCCCAGCTGTTTGAGACCAGCCTGGCCAACACAGTGAAACCCCGTCTCTACTAAAAATAACAAAATTTCCTGGGCGTGATGGCGGGTGCCTGTAATCCCAGCTACTTGGGAGGCTGAGGCAGGAGAATTGTTTGCACCTGGGAGGTGGGGGTTGCAGTGAGCTGAGATTGAGCCATTGCATTCCAGCCTGGATGACAGGGCAAGACTCTATTAAAAAAAAAAAAAAAAAGTGTCCTTTTCTATCTCGCTCTTCAGGCTGTCCTTTGTGCACTGGCCACTGTGGGTTCTCAGTGACTGATGGATAATAAAAACAGTAAGAAGTGCTCCTGAATTACTCTTAAGTTGGTTTATGTGTTTGGCTAAAACATATAGCCCAGTCTGATAATAAAGTATTTATTCTGAGTAAGAAATCAATATATTAGGAAAGAGCCTCAAAACTTACTTAAAAGTACTTCTCTTTAGCTTCTGGGTTTGGCAATGGTGTCTGGAAGTATGTATGCTCAGGCTGGCTGTCACGGGCTTTAGTTTTACACTTTGTTGTAAGTTTAAGAATCTGTTTTCTGTCAACAATATTCAGAGTGCATCTGAGATCTAAAGAAATACTGAACAACTCGCTGATAAGGCACCAGGCCTTGTGCCAGGTACTATATGTGCCTCAAAACCCACCAGCCTCTCAATCTAGCTGCAAGAAAGGCCCATCCTGGCCCCACTTTGCAGATGGAGCCTATGAGGTTCCAGGAGGTTAAGTGACTTTCCCAGGCCATCCATGGCTCTCAGAATTCTAATGAAACATCATCCCACCTGGAAATCCAGGGTGTCCCCATACCTGAGAGGACACACTTTTCCTTCCTTGGATGGCACAAGGCCCCCCAAGTTGCCAGGCCTGTTCTCACTCTAGAATGACCCAATCCAGAAATCTTGTGGTCGGCAGGTTCTGGGCTGGTCCCCCGGGCTGCTGTGGGCCTTTGAGATGGCCCTCTGCCTCCTCCCACCCAGCCCTGACCCTTCCTCCACTCCTCCGGGAAGTCAGATATGCCTGGTTTCTCGGAAAATGTCCAGCACGGAGGCCAGATGTTCACATCTGGGCAGCCCCCATCCCTCTCAAGCAGTGACTGCAGGGACCTCAGGCCCCAGGGGAAGGGACTGAGCTGGGGAGTTTCAAAACCCTGTCAATCCCATCGGGAAAGGGAGCCCTGGCTTCCCTCCGGTCCCACTGCCCTCCAATCAGTTGGGAGCAGGGTGTGTGTGTGTGGGGGGAGCAGCAGGATGTGTGTAAGTTCCCCAGGGGCAGTCTCCCTTGCCCAGGGGACCCTCTGCCCTCACTCTTCCTCCCGGAGAGGGTGAATCAGAGATCCAGTTAGATAAGTGGAGAAAGTGGGGACAAAGGGAGGGAAAGTCATTTCCTGTCCAAAGTTAGGAAGGAGGTTGGGATCCAGCCAGCCACCCAGACCAGCTAGAGGCTGCAGCCTTGGGACAGAGGATGTGCAGCTCAGGACCTCAGGACCCCCCCACCCCCATTCATTTCCTACTCCTAAAAAAAAAAAAAAGAAAACCTCCGGGACCACCTCTAAGCGTTTTCCTTTTTTTTTTTTGAGACAGAGTCTTGCTCCAGAGGCAAGTGCAGTGGTGCAATCTCGGCACACTGAAACTGCCTCCCAGGTTCAAGCAATTCTCCTGCTTCAGCCTCCCTTGTAGCTGGGACCACAGGCATGAGCCACCACACTTGGCTGATTTTTGTATTTTTGGTAGAAACAGGGTTTCACCATGTTGGCCAGGCTGGTCTTTAACTTCTGACTTCAGTGATCTGCCGGCCTTGGCCTCTCAAAATGCTGGGATCACAGGAGCAAGCCACCACACCCGGCTTCAGCGTTGTTCTTTAATGACTGGATAAAGCAGTCTACCTTTGGGTCCGGAATTAAACTTAGCCCGAGATGGGGACGGGGCGGGCTGTGCCCCAACTCCTCCCACCTAGCAGCCTTGGGGAGGGGTTCCCTCAACCTCTCTCCCACCCCAGGGAAACAGAGGAGACAGAGCTGGGTTCACAAGAGGCCCCACCTCTTTCCTGCGGGGTGACCTCGCGCAGGTCACTGAACCTCTCTGGCCTCGTTCTTTTCATAAAGTGAGAATGAGCCTGTCCTGAAGGCGGCTGAGAGTATATAGAAGGAAAGAAGGCTCAGGGTCGAGGCCCTTGGAAAGCGCAAAGAGAAGGTTATGCAGCGGCTGAGCGGGAAAAGGGCCTGGGGCTGGGCTCCGCTGGGGGTGCCTCCAGGACCAGGAGGTAGCTTCCACCGTCATTAAGAACAGGAATCTGGGCGCGGCCCCAGCCTCTCCCGGGGGTCCTCAGGTCGGGGCGGAAGATGGCGGGTGGGGGCGGACGCCAAGATCGCCCCTGGGCACACACCTATCCCCCAGCTCCGCACCTTTTCAGCCCCCGACGGGCGCATGAGGCCCAGAGAGGGGCAGCCCCGGGGCCCGTCCCTCCCCTCCCCTGACCCTGGCTGGGAAAGGGGCCCGGAGCTCCCCCGGGCTCCGGAAACGCGGGGCCCTCGCAGGCAGCCGAGCAGGGAGGCCGCCGGGGTCACCGCCGGGGCTTTAATTCGATCCATGTGCGGGACGCCGGCCCTTTGTGCGGGAGCTTCCGCCCAGCGTGCCCGTTCCCGGAGCCCGCTCCCGGTCTGGGACTCGACCCTCCGCCGCCCCCACTGAGCCTTCGCCCCGGACCCGCCGACCCCCGACTCCGGGGACAGAGAATAAAAGAGACGGGGACGCAAAGGACGTGAGGACCGCACCCCCCACCCGCAGGCCCCTCCAAGGGCGCCGCGCCGGGACTCCCGGCTGGGGACCGGGTGGGCTCCGGCCGAGCGCTGCCTGCGCTGTCACCTGTGTGCAACGGGGGCAGGGACGGAGGAATGCCTCCCTCACCCACCCGGCCCCCTTACCTGGGCTGCCCGCGCCCCTGCGGCTCCGATCCGACGCCCGAGCCAGTGGAGTCCGGAGCTGCGGGGCCTCCCGCCCCCTCCGCCCGTCCGCCTTCCCCGCCCCCTCGGCTCCCTCCGCCCCGCCGCCCCGCGCCGCGTTACCATAAAAGGTGAGGCTCGGTGGGGAGGGGGCGCGGGATTCCCGCCCCGCAGAAGCGGTTCTTACCTGCCCCCTACCCGCCCCACAACCTGTTCGGCCGCGCCCCGCGCCGTTCCCTCCCCCTCCCTTTGTTTCCTGGACCACGCCTCCCCTCCCCCTTGGCCCAGGCCCGGGGGTGGGGGTTAGGGGGAAGGGGTGTGGGGGCCGAGGAATGGGGAGTGGGGGTGGGCCTCCTTCCCTCCCCGCTGTCCACCCCCTCGTGTCCGTTATGGACCCCTCGTGGTCCCTGCCCTGCCCTTTCCCTTGCTTTCCTGGGCTGACGCCCCCACCTGCCCTGTCCCGCGTAGGTGAGCTCTTACACCCCACTTTGCCTCTAGGATCCGCCAGGGTCCCGAGTCAAGCCGATCAGGGTTCTGCGGCCGTTCACTAAGCGTGAGACCTGGAGCAGTCACTCCACCTCCTGAGCCTCAGTGTCTTCATCTGTAAAGTGGGAGTAGCCACTGCCTACCTCTCCAGGTTGGCCTGAAGATAAAAGGTGACAGTCACAGCCAGGACTGTGATTAATAGAGGTTAATATATGCCGGGTTGGGGTTTTTTTCTAGGAGTGCCCCTGCGGGTGGGGGTCTCAGAGACCTCCCAGTGGAGCAGGTCACCTTGTTCTGCTGTCCTGAGGTATAAGCCCTCTGCAGGTGGGTCCCGGTGTCCTGGGGGACAGGCCCCTCCAGGAGCTCTGGAAGGCAGAGCCCAGCTGGCCCAGTGGCTGAACCCCTCCCTCCACCTCCAGTGACCCTCTCCCTCCTAGCTGGAGCAGTTAGGACGGTAGGGGGAGGGAAGGCTGAGCCTGGCTCTGGGGCCCAGGATGGGGCTGGGATGAGCCGCCTGGGTCCCTCAGGAGCATTGTGGCGAAAGGAATCTGGGTCTGATTCAGAGGCAGATTGTTCTTTTGATTAAAGCCACAGTGGCTGAGTCTGGAGGAGCGCTGGACCCAGCGCCATCTGTGGGGCGGCCAGGCAGCATCTGGCCCTCTCCTGCAGCCTCACAGCTACAGTCACCCCTCCAGGGTGGCTCTGGGACTGTTTCTGAGGGAGGCTGGTTTATAAGGTTCGAAGGAGGGTGCCTTTGCCCTCTCCCACCAATCATTGCCCCTCCCATCCCTCTTGTCACCCCATTTCCCATTTGATCCTCACAGTCGAACTGCAGTAACAGCAGCAGTCCCAGCAGCTGCCTTTGGTGGGGGCTTTCTAGGTGCTGGTGCCCATCCTCATCCCCTTCCCAATCCCACGAGAGCCCTGGGCGCCAGGGCTGATAATTCCTCTGCACAGTCAAGGACACAGAGGCCCCGAGAGGCCCGAGGCTACACTAGGGGCAAATGACAGAGCTGAATTCAAACCAGAGCCGCCGTGTCCTTGGGCACACAGCTCTGCTAGTCTCAGGAACAGGTACCACTGCCACCCTTCACAGATTCGGAAGCTGGGGCTTGGAGGTGGTGAGAGTTCTGTGCAGCAGGGCGAGGTTGCAGCTCAAGGCTGTTTGAGTCCCCCCTTGGCTCATTCCTGGCTTGGCAGTGATACCCTGCTCCTCCCAGCCCCCAAGCTTTGCAGTACCCTTTGGAGGAGACTTCCCCCATACCCTCCACTGGGAGGGAAACACCGAACGCCAGAGACAGGAAGGACCCTGGTGTGATCTGGGGGTTTTCAGGGACTTTTGGCTGTAGAACCCCTTTCCAAGTGCTTGATGACCCAGGAGTTTATTTTAGAGATAAAAGTGGAGCTGCCCGCTGTCACCTCCATGACATCCCCTGAGCCACCTGCACCCCCAGATGGGAGAGTGGGGCACCGAAGGGTTGAACTGGGGCTTTGTTCAAGGTCACACTGACTCAGTCTAGGACCCAGGCCTCCCACATCTGCTCTGGGACAGTCAAAGGGAATGAGGGTCCAGCTGCCTCTGCTTACCTGCCTCCAGCACCTTTGGCCGCCTGTTCGACTGCCACCACCACTCCCAGATGGAGGAGTGCATCCTGGCCTGCAGCAGCCCAGGTGTCGATGTCACCTATCAGCAGGTGCCAAACTTCCTGCAATGGAAACCCAGGAAGTGCACTGGACAAGAACAGACGCGCTTTGTCTGCCAGCTCGGAAGCCCTGCTGCCCTCTGCTGTCACTGCCAGGTTCGCATCGGCTTTCTCCCCACTCAGATGGCCCCAGCAAGCAAGGGGCTCAACCTTCCCTTAGGATGGTGGCAGCAGAGGCCCTGGGTGGCAGGGAATGGGTGGGCGAGAGGTTTGAGGGAAAGTCTGCTTGCCAGGGTAGGGGTGGCACCTGCCATCCACAATGGAGAACTTTGACTTTGCAGACACTGTTGTGTGCAATGCATGAGTCAAGGAGCCAGTGGGATCAAGTCAGACATGATCAGCCCTTGTCCCCACAGACCTTACAAGGAGATTGGGTAGACCAAACCATAAGGCATATTAACATGATAATGACCAATAGTAAAAGGTGCTATGAAGGAATGGACCAGGGGCTGAGACAAACATGAGTGGGGGGGGCAGGGATGGGCGGGAAGACCTCTCTGAGGAGGTGAGGAGGGTTAGGCTGAGATGGAGAGGAGCCAGTGTGAGAATAGGGACAGAGGGGAACTTTATTAAAGGTCAGATGTCCCTGGGGCCTCTCAGCTCCTTCCTCCATCCCTTATTTTCCATCTGCCTACCTGCTTGGAGTCAGGTCAGTCCAATGCTTATTTCCTGGGTGCTGCTGCGTATGGGGTCCTGTGCTAGGCAGGGTGGGAAGAGGAGCAGCACAGACAAGAGGGAGCTCCCCCATAGTGGAGGCGTCAGATGGGGACACAGATACAGTTGTGAGTAACATCAGCATCTGGGAGTGACTCCAGCTCTGCCATTTGCCAGCCTTGGGCAAATCACTTCTCTCTGGGCCTCAGTTTCCTCTTGCAACTGAGGAGTTACAAACCCAGGTTTGTCCCTTGTGACTTCATAGCAAGAATCCAGTGGGGTAAATATGGGTAAAAATACCTGGTGCTCAGTAGGTGTTCAAAGCTGAGCTCTCCCTACCACATAAAGGATAGAAGTTGTAGTCAGAGGGACAGAGTGCTGAAAGGAAGAGAAGGACGCGACTTTGTCCTGCAAGAGAATCCAAGGCACATCCATGGCTCCTGACAGCCCAGCACTGCTTTCCCAGATTCTGATAACAGCACTGTTTCTGTTTGGGGAACCTTTCCTTCACTCTCAATGCCTGGGGTTAAGATAAGATTCCTGGCCAGGCGCGATGACTCACACCTGTAATCCCAGCACTTTGGGAGGCTGAGAGGGGCAGATCACGAGGTCAGGATTTCAAGGCCAGCCTAGCTAATATGGTGAAACCCCGTCTCTACTATAAAATATTAAAATTAGCTGGACATGATGGTGGGTGCCTGTAGTTCCAGCTACTCAGGAGGGCTGAGGCAGGAGAATCACTTGAACCTGGGAGGCGGAGGTGGCAGTGAGCTGAGAACATGCTACTGCACTCCAGCCTGGGTGACAGAGTAAGACTCCGTCTCAATCAATCAATCAATAAAAGATGAGATTCCTACATCCTCTGACTCTGCAGATGTATACATGACCCATGTCCAGCCAATCATGGTGGCTGTTAGTTCTAAGATAAGCTCTCTGGGCTTGTTGGCTGGCAGAATACAAGCTTGGCACCACTTTCGGCCCCCACTTGGACCCCCACAGAGGACAGCAGAGCAAAGAGATAGAGAAAGATAACTGATTTCATCACTTAAGCTGCTGGATCCAGCCCTGCCTGCAATCCTACTACCAGGCCTGCAGAATCAATGCATTTTTTCCCTTTTTGTTTTTTATTCTTTTAAGACAGAGTCTTGCTCTGTCAGCCAGGCTGGACTACAAGGGTGCAATTTTGGCTTACTGCAACCTCCACCTCCCAATTTCAAGTGATTCTTGTGCCTCCTGAGTAGCTGGGACTACAGGCATATACCACCATGCCTGGCTAATTTTTGTATTTTTCTAGTAGAGACAGGGTAACAACATGTTGGCCAGGCTGGTTGTGATTATAGGCTCCTTACTTTTTCTTAAACCAGTTAAAATTGCATTTCTGGCCAGACGTGGTGGCTCATGCCTGTAATGCCAGCACTTTGGGAGGCCAAGGTGGGTGGATTATGAGGTCAAAAGTTCCAGACCAGCCTGACCAACATGGTGAAACCCCCACATCTACTAAAAATACACAAATTAGCCAGGTGTGGTGGCGTGTGCCTATAATTCCAGCTGCTCAGGAGGCTGAAGCAGGAGAATTGCTTGAACCCAGGAGGTGGAGGTTGCAGTGAACCAAGATCACGCCACTGCGCTCCAGCCTGGGTGACAGAGCAAGATTCCGTCTCAAAAAAAAAAATTGTATTTCTCCAGTCATTTATTGTGCTTTTTCTTTTTTTCTTCTTCTTCTTTTATTATTATTTTTTTTTGCCTGAACATAGCTGTAAACTGTTCTGAGATGTTGTGCTTTTTCTCCTTGTTCTAAATAAATAGTCATGAGTCTGGGTGCGGTGGCTCACGCCTGTAATCCCAGCAGTTTGGGAGGCCCAGGCAGGCAGATCACTTGAGGCCAGGAGTTAGAGACTAGCCTGGCCAGCATGGTGAAACCCCGTCTCTACTAAAAATAGAAAAATTAGCCAGGCGTGGTGGTAAGCAGCTGTAGTCCCAGCTACTCAGGAGGCTGAGGCACAACAATTTCGTGAACCTAGAAGGCAGAGATTGCAGTGAGCCGAGATGTCCCCACTGAACTCCTAAGTGCCCTAAGTGATAGAGCCAGACTTTGTCTCTACTAAAAATACGAAAATTAGCTGGGTGTGGTGGTGCACACTTTTAGTCCCAGCTACTTGGGTGGTGGAGGCAGGAGAATTGCTTGAATCTGGGTGGTGGAGGTTGCAGTGAACTGAGATTGTGGCACTGCACTCCAGCCTGGGTGACAGTGAGACTCTGTCTCAAAAATAAATAAATAGGCCAGGCGTGGTCTCTCAGGCCTGTAATCCCA